CTCGTTAGGAGAGTAATTTAGTTGGTTAGCTAAGATATCTGAATCAAGAAGAAAATGTGAAAATATTTAAAATTCTAGATATTTATACGAAGCTGTGCAGTATTAGTGAATATTGCACATTTTGTGCATGGTAAAACAATTGTGCTATATTTTGGAATGATACATCAGTTCGTTAATTCATGTGAATTATTTGCATGGGTCGTTTTGCATAAATTATAATCTTAGCTGTGCCCATTATTTTCTTAATTTTCTAAATAGAGTAATGCACTTATGAATATGCTCCTTAAGTCAATTTAATTGTATACAACTACAAAATTTACCAAAATATTTTTTTTTTAAATAATATATCTTTCATTTCCAATTTAGTTTCGAATTCATTGTTAGACATCCTAATGTACTAAAATAATGTTTCATCTTGCAGCAGGTCGGGAAATATGTAAAATCTCCCTTTTGTCATTATCGTTCTGTTTAGAACAGAAGGGACTCTTCGACTCCTTGCCTAATTTCCTTCTTCTGCTATTAAAAATGTACACAAAGCGATTACCTTCCTTAAATGAAATTACGAAGCAATCGCGTGCGTATAAGACATGAAGCGAGGAGCCAAATTGACTCAGAACTTGTTCGAAGGATCCGATCCGGACCAGTTCGTCCCGTCCCCTCCCGTTCGTCCCGTCCCCTCCCGCTCGTCCCGTGCCGTTCGTCCCGTCCTGTCCCGTTCGTCCCGTCCCCTCCCGTTCGTCCCGTCCCCTCCCGCTCGTCCCGTCCCATCCCGCTCGTCCCGTCCCATCCCGTTCGTCCCGTCCCATCCCGTTCGTCCCGTCCCCTCCCGTTCGTCCCGTCCCATCCCGTTCGTCCCGGCCCCTCCCGTCAAGTGCCGCCTGTCCGTCCGTGCTGTACCGATCCAGAGCGCGCATTGCTTGACACGCACGTGTGCCGGCGAGAGGGGAAGGCAGTTACAGTGAAACGGAATTAAATTTTAAAATGCCATTGCACTGCCGGCCAACGGTAAGTTGAAGAACAGAGGGAATTGAGAAGTAAGGTCAGAAAAGTGTCTTCCGCCACTGGTCCGTTGGATCTGCCTATATCGAAATTAGGGGCGCGTCCTTTCTCGCGTTATTTGTACCTTGAAACGAGCCCCGCGTCCTTTTTAAGCGTGCTCTCGTGACCTCGCAGCATTGGGCTCGGTCGCGGGAGGGCGGGGGCGGAGGGAAAGTGCCCTTCCCGCCGGCGCCAGAGGCGGCCACCCACGGAAGCCCCTCGACAAAAGATGGGGAGCCTGGGCGCCACGGGCGAAGGGCGTGGGCGGAGCAGGTGCGCGGGTGCGGGGCGAGTCGGGCGGGGGAGGGAGAGTGCAGCTGGCCGGCGGCCCTTCGGTGCACATGGCCCGCCAACGGGAACGAGTGTTTGGGCAGGCCAGCGAGCCTCATTGGGCCAATGTTAATTGTACGGTTAGGAAGTACTATTTAAAGTGTTGTGAGTGAATATTGATGATCATGTTCTCTAATTACTTGATAACAATGATTCATTCAACATTAATTGTGAGAAAAATTAATGTCTAAATTTGGTAATTGAATTAACATGTTAAATCATAAAATAATCCCGGATTAGTCATACACCTACTTCACTTTTGACTTGAATGTATACCAAAACGGTTATAATAATAATAATAATAATAAATAAATAATAATAATAATAATAATTAATAATAATAATAATAATAATATATTTATTTGGCCACCAATTTGGCTCTTTGCCAGGTGGTAGCCAATTAATTACACAATACAAATGAAAATGAAGTGACATTAAACATAATGTATTACCTAGAACCGTGTATACCCCAGCGTAGCAAGAAAGCCTCCATTTCACGCGTACACATGTGAAACTCACTCTCTGTGCACACACCCAAACAAACTTCATTCTCATTTATTTCACCACTCATATTTGAAAATTCAGTTCCAGACTCAATTGTATATCAACAAACCTTCACAAACATAAACATCACAAATAAGCGATTTCTTACAAGCGCTACCAGCATCGCTGATCTTTTCGACGAGCCGCAGCTGACACTTGCGTTTCGCGCGCCGCTGTCACTGGCCAATCAGAGAGCTCTAAATAAGTCTCATTCACTGTTTATTGGGCCAAGTAAAATAATGCAACCGGGAAAGCTTATCAACGCATATCTGGATCTCTTGACTCAGGTGATGGCGTTATAAAAAAGGCATTTATTACTTTTCAAGCTGTGAGGAGTATACAATGATTTATTCCAGGTTATTGTAATTATTTATGCAAATTTAATTTTTTTAAATTAAAAAGTAATGTAGTCAGATATTCAGAATCCATCGTTTAGGGAAAACGATCAATTCATGTCTCAAATTGAGCCAGGTACACAACCAACATGCCAGGTATTAGAATATTGTTTTTAATTTTAATTTTCTCGCCTACTGCTTTCCCAGAATAGAGAAAATATCCTAATGTTGCGTAGAAAATCAGCGATTTTTTTCGATAAAACTCTTGATTGATAGATTAGTAATTCAGGACACGTCAACTGATCATTATTACCGTAAGTGTAGTTCATGATTTCATGTCGGGAGGTGGCAGAGATCTTCCCTTGTTGGCAGAAACACTTTTTTTTGCCAGGCCCTAGTGAAGAAAATTTTAATGAATCTTGTTCCTTTACGGAGTGAATTTCCTCTTACAGGCAGTGTAGCCAGAATCCACGTTCGGCACAAAAAATCGATTGACGGCAAAACGTCCCTCCATCCATTCTTCCGACTGTGAACAACGCTAGCGGCTGAATCCTAAGCAGAATACGAGTATTTACCAATTTGATATTCCTCTATCGATCTGACTGATGTCGCGGCACCGTGAATTAAAAAAAAAGATTTTGGGGGCATTTTACATGAACCCTCAACGTTTTCAAAATATTCTAAAAAAGAATATCTCCACATTTTTCTTTAATTGTTTTCACTGATAGAGCAAAGGACGCATAAAGAAATGCGTAGATTGCATTTTCGTTGCACTCCCTAAATTTTCGAAAATTGTAAAGTTCAAAACTTTTTCGACGTCTTTCTGCAACTACAATAGTGAAGATTTTTTTTCTGTAATGAAATATGGTCATGAAAATCATAACTTCAAATATGGTCATGAACAGACTTTGTGCAATTTTGCATGAAACATAGACTATTTAAAACTCTAACTATGCGCTCTTTTTTGCTAAAAACTTCCAGGAGATATTTAATCGAGTTATTTAGGAGTTATTTATTTAGTTAATTAGTATTCGATTCATATTTATCAGGATGTTTATTTCAGGGGACGCTGCCAAACAATGGAAACGTCGCGACATGGCGGATTGAAACTCTCTGAATAACTTCTTTGTAATCATTCCTGATGTAAATAATTATACAAGGCAAAATATTTTTCGTCTCAACAAAATCTCAAACTTGTGAAGAAGTACGGGCCCCAAAGGGTATAAATAGAGAAGTTGGAGGTATGTTGATAGCACTGCAGAGAAGAAAATAAACAATGAATAATGAACTTCAAATCCTGAATATTGCTAATTAAAACTTCTTTCTTACGGGGAATCGATGTACCAGACGCGCGGGTATTCAATTTTCGCGCCGTCGTCCACATTTCCCCTCCCTCCCCTCCACTCCCCCTCACCACCTCCTTCTACTTCCGCTGCGGCCGTTCCCGCGCACTTCAGAGCTGCCTCTGTGGGGCCTGGCCTCCTACACGCACTTCGCGCGCAGAAAGCGAGATTCATTTGTCAAGTGGCTCGAAGAGAGAATTCCCTTCGTGGGCACAATTTTAAGTTTTGGTCAAGACATACTTAATGCACACTTCACTCGAGAAATTATTGCTTTCATACAAACCCAGTATTCAAGAAATCTGCCCGAGGGTGATTCGAAGCTGGGTGATTCTTAGTTAAATTGCTAACACAACGAAAATATGAATACTGCGAAGACGCAGAATGCACCAAGTTTCCTTTAAAATGAACGCTAATATTTTCTAATACCGTAATGTTTCGGAGCACGTCTTCGCGAGTAATTGCCATTCTTTCAGTATTTGCAGGGCCACGAAACTCGTCAGGCAAGTCTTCTGAATACTTCATTTAATATTCATATTTGAGCAACACCGAAACACATTAACTTCAAAAAAGAAACCACGTTTTTAATATTTTTCTGAGGTAATCATTATAATTTTCCAAAATGCAAGTGAATTTAATATTCTTTGATTTGTCAGGTCTATGGAGTACTTTCAGAGAGTCAAGAAACGGCAATAATGTCACTGCAAACTAACTTGAAAACTATTATGCACATATTGATGTGCAACTCCACATTTTTTCACTGCATATTGTTGACGTCTGTACTTCCGCCTCATTGCCTTTAACTGTACAAAAGTAAAAACAATATGAAATCGTATTAAACGTATACTTTTATTGATTTTTATGTCCATTTAATTTTTCGCGATTGTTTCAATTTTACTTCCAAAACGTTGCTTCAATACTGAATGAGAACCTTACGATATGGAAAGGTTTTCATACACAATATGATCCAAAACATTAGGCACGCTAGAAGAGCAAATTGAAAGTATCTTTCTGGCAAAATATTCTCCCCGTTGGGCGAGAATTAAATTGTTAGTAAATAGAAACAAAACATTTTCGAAAGAAATGATATTTTTAAATATATTTAACACGTGGAAGTGATGTACGCACACAAACACAGACAGTGACCCTTAGTAAACGCTGCTGACGGAAACATATTGCATGCACGAACGCACGAGTATATGCCAACTAGTCTTCTTGCGAACAATGTCTTTATTACAAAACGTTTCTCAGCACTTACCAAACAATCATTAAAATGGATAAATCTGAAATAGTGAATTCCTTGGGAAACGTAATGGGAACGGTGTTTGAATTCCAGCTGCACCTGCGCTTCGTAATCGTGTGCGATAGCCGCGAGTCGTAGCCCGGGCGATAGTCAAGAGAGCAGTGGACTGACCTCCCGGGAGACTTCCTGGTAGGCCGCGTCCTTCATGGCGACGCGTCGAGGCGGCGCTGCGCGGGGCGGGGCGGCGGGCGGTCGGGCGAGCGGGCGAGCGAGCGATGCCTCGTGCGCGTGCTGCGGCAGGCGGAGCACCAACTGCCGCGTGGCGGCATTGTTGGGCGAGCGCCCAGCTGGCGCGCCCGCCCGCCCGCGTGGGGACGCCCCCCTCCCCACCCCAACCAGCTGCACCGTCGCCGCGGCCCCCTAGCCGCGCCGCGCCGCGCCGCGCCGCCACGCTATCTAGTGGCGACCTTGTGACTTTCCAGGCGCGCTTTTGAAACACCCGTTTGAAGCCGCGTTTCCCAACCCTTGAGCAAGCCTTACAACACTTGACACACTGATTGAGTAGTATTACGTTTTATAATTCCCATTACATTATCATTTTTTTATCGCATTGCATGTAATCAGTTTAAGATTATGTATTTACTCAAATAAATAAATATGAAATCACATTTTCGTTTAATATAAATGATATGTTTCTGCTTTGAAAAAAAAAATGATTGCAACAATGTACGATGTTTAAAAAACGTTAAATGTCTTGTGAAAACTTATCTAGTGAGAACTTTGAATCTGGTGCCATTTCATTATGTATAAGTTTCTTCCGCATGGCGGGCGCAACAACTATGGCGGCAACATGCTAGGAAGCACTGACATGTAGGACCGCATAATTTCGCAGGATTTAATTAGTAAACTTAGATGCACATAAGACTGTGGATAGTTATAAGCAAATTTTACTCTATTGGCCAACAACTTTAAAGAAAAAAAATTGGAGCAGTTTTTGAAAAAATGAAAATGTCCCAGGGGCTTCATGTAAAGTACCCACAAATTTTAAAGAAAGTTTTTCAAGCTTCGACTTGAGCTAGATGGACAAGGGTTTCTTCAAATTTGGAAACATAAAATCCTACTGTACTTTGCACAGTGTGTTCACAGAATGGAAACGTTACACACACACACCACACCACCAACACACACCACACAACACACACAACCACACACACACACACACAAAAAAAAAAAAAAAAAAAAAAAAAAAATAAAAAAAAAAAAAAAAAAAAAAAAAGAACGGTGTCAGTGGACCTCAGAACGAGTATATTGCGCACCGGCCTGTAGCACAAGTCGTGAGGAGCCGTTGCTGCGTCCGAAGGCTGTTTGCGCGCGCGCGCCACTCGGTCGCCCCCTTTCTCCTTCGGCCGCGCCCTTTTGTTGGCCCCCACCCTCGGGGCGAGGCGCCACCCACGCGGCGGCGGCGGTGGTCGGCCAACAAAAGGCTCCGACAGCGGTCGCCAAAGCGCCGCGCCGCAGCGTGCGTGGGACAGGTGTTTCAAGCTGGAACAGTCTTTTTCTTTTGTCCCCTCCACACTTTTTTTGTCCCCTCCACACACGGAATTTATTTACTTTTGATTTGTACATTAAGCTGCTGCCTTGCGGCTTTAGCAGATAGAGGAGGGGCTTTGTCTTACAGATAATTTTAATATTCTAGTCCTAAAATTAAATTATTTGCACTTTGGCATTCCTAACTTACACTAAGATGGGTTTTTATTAATTACTAAAAAAATTGTTATCATTATACATGTGTGAGATTTTTTTCTCTCTCTCCCTACATTCACACATGATTCATACTTGTTTTATTATATACATAGCCATTCATTCTTTCCATTCATTCATCCCATTCATTGGAAGCTGGAACAGCCAAGACACCACACCCGAATGAAACGTTACAAGTTATTTATTGATAATTAAATGGCACGTACACCCGTATTGAGAAACGTTGACGTTGGTTTGACGAATTAATAGAAACTGATGAACCCTTGGTATCTGCCACAATATGCGATGCGACAGACAAGCTGATAAATACCGCCCCAATGTGCCACTTTGTCTCACGTGAAATACACCTCTTCAATAATCAGTAAACGGAACTAATAGTTTACACGCATGAGTAATAAAAATATTTTACCGGCTTAGTTTAAGGAAGCTCAACTTCAATAATTAGCAACTTCTTTAGGCCACCTTCTTTACTATAAATAACTGACGTTTGAAGTTTGTAAACCGAGTCTATATCCGACCTCGGTTGCTTATTATATTATCGGTCGTGAGTCTTCAACACTTTTCGTAATACTCAAACCACCTTACAAGAAAAAGCAAGTTTAAAAAAAAATATTACGTCTCGTTCGACACTTGTGTCTTTTGAAGATGTGAAGGTACATTATTAAAATGAGATTTTAGGGTAATGCTATCTTTAAGTCTAGATGGGTTCTCTTCTCTGAATTTTGGGTTAGCACTAGTATAGAGCTAGGTAAGGTAGTTGGATGAGGGGGTTATGGGCGAGAGAAATACCTAGAAGCTAAGGAGGTTTGAATAAGTTTTTTGTCGTCTGTTAAAGGGGGCGATCTTTTGTTGTTTTCAAGATGTACAGCTGGGAGAGTTTGGTAAGTTGTTGAATATAAACAAGAAAAACTGGCATGCACGATGATAATAAATGCAAACAGGTTTTAATCTTCGACTGTTTGAAGAACAAAAAGGATACTCTAATACAATGTATTATGATCCTGCACAGCGTGCGCCAATTGTTATAAGGATTCAGTGCGGGCAGCGTTGTTTAGACTCATCTGTTTTTGAGATTTCTGAATGCTTTCACCCAACATAATCAATAAAAGTAAGTTATAAACTATACCAAAACATAATAAAAGTATTGTATTTATTTAAAAACTTAGCAGTTAAAAATATTCACTCTAATTTGGAACAATCAAAGTATGTAAACATTGTTATCAGATAAGACCCAAACCTGTTTGTCCCGCTGATAATAATTTAACAATTGTGTATTTACTTCAGTAGCCGTCCGTGTTTTAACATTCGGAGATAACGTTCTGGTAAAACCAGATTCAACTGGGCCTCCGTTCGTCGTTCTTATCAGATTTGAGAAAGGAAACGATTTGGCAAGGTGTTGATCAATGTAGTGCGTGTCAGAGGGCATATTGCGAGGGTTTATCACAAAGTGTGATCAAAGGAACGGCAAATTCGGATAAGATATATAAACAGAACAGCAACAATGGGGTTCAGAGGAGAAGTAATTGATCGAGTAAAAACTAATGAAAATACAAGGGAATGGCAGAAAAATTAGTATAGATGAAAATAGGGAATGTAGTAGTAAATAAAACAATGTATGAACACTTGAGCAATTTCCGCGAGTGGACAAGTAAATTACGAAAGTAATTAGGAATCTAGAAGCAAAGAATAAATAAAGTGCTAGATTGACGTTGACTAATCAAAAATTAAAATATGTGCGAAATGGGCGATAAGGGGATAAGAAGGGGGAAATGGGAGACCATTTAAAGAAACGAAAGAAGAGAAAGTATTGTAATCGTTCGCCGAAATTGCAAAGTTTTGATATAAAAAACTATTATTGTCGGACCCTGGAACCAAAAAAGTGGATAAATCACATATATAGAATAGTACATTACTTCTATCACGTGGTACAGCCAGAAACCATGTTTTGTGGGTTCTTGATACCGAAAAATCGATTGCCGGTAAAACATCCGTCTGTAGTTAAGGCTAGCGGCTAAACCGTTCATCTAATTGTCTCCAAAACGGATATTTCCCCACCAATCAAAACAAACTCGAAGCGTTGCGAGATTGAAATGGATAATTTGATTTTTAGGGTGGTTCTTACATAAATAACCTCAACACTTTCAAAATTTTCTCTAAAATGGCACTAAGTTCTCTGATTATTAAACTTTGTTCTCGAACATAGTACTTTTTTAGTAAAGGACGTTTAAGAGAATGGTGCAGGTTTCACTTTCGTTCAAATCCTTGATTTTTCGAAAAGTGTGGAAGGGAAATTTGTTTTCGGCATTCACCTACACCTACAATGTTAAGATTTTGGTTCATAATGAAATCTAAACACAGATCTTTAAATATGGTCGTGCACAATACAGACTCGTATTTCGAAAATATGAGTAGTTTTCGCGTAATTATGCGGGAAATATAGCCAATTAATTTTTGATTAAAACAATATTTTGTAAAAAACTGCTCCAAATTTGTATATAAAGTTTCTCCACGTATCAGAAAACGGTGAAAAAGTGTTCTAGTGTCATTTCTGACAAACTCTCTGTATTTTCAAAAATTGCAAAATGTTAAGGTTAAAAAACTGAAAATTTGAAGATATAAATGTTTGTTTTAAATGAAATTTGTTCTAAAAGACAAGGTTTTGAACAAATTTTTGGAAAACGAGTAGTTTTCAAGTAATTTCTGCTTGACGTTAATGCAAGTTATTCACATAATTCTCAAAAATTTATCTAAATTTTTCTTTACATTTTTTTCCTCCGATACAACATTAAACTCTCCAAAGAATGGCGGTGCAATTCTCGTTAAATCTCTTTGAAGAATTGAAATTTGCCTAAGTTGGAATGTATGTGATAATGTATGTGTTGTTGTAGCACCACTAGTTAGTCGTCGAGTGTACCTATACCTCTTACGTAGTCATTCTTCTCTCTTATTACATCGCTCTGTGTTCACTATCACTCTTATTATATCGCTATCATGTTATCATTTCTGCCTCATATTGTATAAAAATGTGTTTTGGCAGTAGTTGCAGATTTTGGAGGTAGAGCTTGCATCTTTCATTATAATGTCACGAAATTATAGTTTTCTTTGGCAGATTTGTTTAGATTTTCCGACATTTGTGCAAATAATCAGCATCCATCGCATACCACTGTTTGGTCATGGAAAAAGCGATTAATTCACCTTTACCGCAGAATATTAAGAGTAACTACACCAAGGTGGTAACGAAATATTTATTTTATAGGTTTAAAATTATAATTTTTATTTAACAATGTGTTCTATGCCTATGCCTTAACGTCCTTTAAGAGACGTTAAAAGAGTCGGCCTAATCTTTAAAGAGTCCTTAATCTTAAAAATAATGCATGCTACAATTACAAATGATCGTCATTTTTATTACAAATTACATCCAATATTGATGCGGCACAAAACATTTATTACTTCGTATTTATCAACACATCACACTACTCTCAATAGTGTCACTTGTAACTATTCCTGTGGTCTCCATTTAAACCTTACAAGATTAACGCAAGATATTCTATCGCCTTCTTTCACTTTTTCTTCCAGATCTTCAATGGTGTCCATCAATGGTTTCCCTTTCGTTTCAGGCACAAGGAGTATAATTATTGCAATTCCTATGGTGGCAATGCCACATAGTAGTATAGCAAAATTTTTCCCCAACGGTCCCTGGAAAATAATGATATATTTTATAATAAAAGAAGCACACATTTTAAATGTTATAGACAAAGTACAGAAAAAAACTAAATTCAAGAAATATCAGTGACAACTCTCGGATAAAATTGGAAGTTAAGTTGTACTAAGGAGGTTTAAATCAGTATTTTTTCGTCTGTTAATGGGGCGATCTTTTGTTGTTTTCATGTTGTACAGCTTGGAGAGTTTGGTAAGTTCTTGAATATCCAAGTTCCAACACACAAACACACACATACGCGCGCGAGCACACTCATTTCTTTCCATGACATACGTTTTGGCGAAATTTTTGTGTTTTTTCTTTCTCGTATAATTATATTCGGAGTGATATACGTAGTATGGGAAAAGTTATGTAATGCTGCTCAAAAAAACGGCGGATTTTCAGCAGAACAAATTTGAAAGAATAATAGAAGAAGAATATGAAAGATGGCACATTTACGTGCTTTTTTACGTGGAAAGATTTGTTGCTGTTAATTTTATTGTAACTCTACTAAATGGAACTACAGCATACGATTGCTGTTAATTTTAATTCAATTTCCATTCAAACTGTGCTTCACCTGGGCTTCATTGTTGCTGGGCGTTGCCGTGTGACGCAAGACGAGATTGAGGAGGCCAAGACAGGCGTCACGAGAGAGGGGAGAGAGAGCGACAGAGTCAGAGAGACAGGCAGAGAGACAAAGAGACGCAAGGAGAAAGAGACAGAGTCAGTGACAGACGCAGAAAAAGAAACAGAGACAGAGACGAACAGAAACGGACCGTCAGACAGTGACAGAGAGACGTAGACGGGGACATTGGAAGTATAGGCAGAGACATAGACATATACATAGACGTAGAGACAGACAGAGAGACATAGACAGAGAGAGGCAGAGAGATGGAGACATACAGAAACGGAGACATACAGAAACAGGGACAGAGAGGCAGAGAGAGACGGAGAGAGAAAGAGAGAAAAAGAGAGAGACGGAGAGAGAAAGAGGCAGGGAGATGGAGAGTAGGAAAACATCTGCATGGTTCCGCTAGTGTTTTATAGCCGAATAGTTAGAAATGTGAGAAAGTACGTGGTGCTTTAGTACCACAATTGCTAGTTACTAGATGTTAGAGCCGGGGGTGTATGTTGTGATTGTATTTGGTTAGCAATGTTACAAAATCAAATCTGTAGTTCTTTTTCCGATGCTAATAAGTTTTCCGTTATTCGGAAGCGAAGTATTGTACTTTTCCCCCATACGTCTCATTAATTGTTAATTTTTTACAATAAATGAAAAAATTGATGTATAGCAGCAATTGTCCAACTTAACAAAACGAAACGTTGAACGAAACGTGACAATACGTATTATGTCACTGAAAACCCATCTGTAAACAACTCCAATAACAACAATTTTCTCAATCGATTTGTAATCCACATTAAATAAGTGAAGAATTATTATATACTTATTCCCTCTGCAGTGAATCAGTTAATATTGCAGGATATTAAAAAAATGCGCAAAAATATAAACTCACCGATTCGTAGCCAACAAGAAACGACGATATCATTCCTGCAACATGGGACGTGGCTGAACATATTCCAAGAGCAGTAGCCCTCTCTTCCGTAGGAAATAGTTCAGCAGTGAGAACTATTATTACAGCAAAAACACCGGAATTGGTGACCCGGATAATCATGATGATCACCAACTCAAGCATAGAACTCCAATAAATGTCTGAAAAAGAAATAGATACTTTCACAAATTAACTCAGAGTGCGGCGAGGCAGGATGCGATTTCGGATAGATATATAATTTACTTAATTTGCTTTGAGCATTAAGCCCGGTGGAAAATTCTTCACACTAATTAAACATCTAATACACTAACGTAATACAATAAATAACACTAAAATATATACAATACATAGCAAAATATTATTTCATTTAAGGTATGCCAGAGGCCCTTCACGGACAACTCATCTTATGGCTTACAACACTATTACTAGAATTTAATGTTAACATAAAAGACGTGATGTTTGTGGGAAAAGTCTCCATTAGTGCTGCAGGCAAGGTATTCCATGACCCGATGGTCCTATTTACAAAAAAGTATTTTCCATCATCAGTTCTCTATTTCCGTGGACGTATTTGTTAATATGGTCATGACGTTCTAAGTAAACGGGTTTATGCATTCTTTCCTGAATTTCTCTCCACGCCGGAGTTTTCTCTAATGCTTTGTAAAATAAACACAACCTTGCTTTTTCCCTACGGCTCGACAATGATTTCCTTGTCGATACTTTGTTGGAAATATTTTCTAACGATTTTCCCCTTTTAACAAATTTTGCTCCTACTTTCTGAATTCTTTCGATGGAGTTTATTTGGGCCTTTCTATACGGATTCCAACACGCTGCTCCGTACTCTAATAACGGACGCACAATGGTGAATATGCTAGTTCTCTTGATTTACAGCTTCCCTTTCTTAACACTTGCATTACAAAGTGTAAAGATTTCCACACCTTCCCAACAGCTAAGATGACGTGCTCCCCTCATCCAAGCTGTTCATTATAACCCCCAGATATTTACAACTAGTTACCTGTGAAATTATCTTGTCCCCAAGCAAATACTTAGCTGTCCCTATATTTCTACTACGCGGAAAACAAACTATTTTGCATTTATTCGGATTTATCGTCATTGTATTGATTTCCGTCCATTTTCTTCCAAGAAGATGAGAGTAAAGAGTTGCAGAGGAAACAATTTATAAATATATTTAAATACACACATGTAATTTCAAAGTTAGTCTTACTTTTTTACTCACGCTTCTTCCTGTAATATAATTTATTCCCCAATTACATTGGATTCCGCGGACAGTATTTAGTCAGGCAGAGTGGGAGCGTGCCACAGCTCAACGATGCAGAATGGAAATGACACCTTTCCTTCTGAAAGATGTAATCGAGCTACTCAACAATTTCGATGTATAACTTCAAGGAAAGGGAAAGCTCATCTGCGATAAACAATAACATGTCAAAGCTTTTGAAGAACAATGAAGGCTCCTCATCAGACAAGTGAAGGAGGAAAACTTCTGCCATCAAAATCTCAAAATCTGTTAGCGGAGAAACCATTAGTTGCATTACCAAACAAAACATGAATTCGCTGCAAAAGAAACTACTGAAAAAGTTGCAAAAGCAGTTAAAATTTAGATTTAAAGAGCTTTATTTCCAAGAACAGGACATGCTATTTTCTGTAACCCATTTTCTATTGACATTGAACTCGCTGTACTGCAGAATTGTGACTCTCTGAAAGGCGCATTCAAGTCAATCAGTTTTCATAATTTATATGCATCTCTCCCTTCTGAGACATATCATCTCAGGAACAATGCACTCAAAATTACAACACTCTTTGGCAGCCATGTCTGTGAACAGACTTTTTGTAGAATGAATAATTTGAAATCTCCAACCAGATCATGACTAAAGGATGTACACTTGCATCACTTTTTACGACGAGTAGTGACGAATATGGAACCTGATGTTGACCATTTCATTAGACAAAAGCAGGCCCATAGTTCCTAATACTGGTAAGTTTGTTGATTTAACTTTACTTCATTTAAAATATTGTATTTGTTCCCGTTTTGAGTCTTCTCTTCAGATATATATATATATATATATATATATATATATATATATATATATATATATATATATATATATATGCAGTGTGCATAAGATTTGTTGTTTCTGTTGTAATGGGACGGCCGTACATCGCGGATGACGACACGAGCCATATATTTATTTATTTTCTTTAATTAAGAGCCGCGCTGCCGTTAGGAGCAGCCGGAAATGCCGTTGGGAGGTTGCTGGGGGCGTCTTTGGCGCTGGCGCCGTGATAGGCGGAAGGGTTACAGGTGGCGCGACATCCAATAGAAATAGACAATGCGGGGGAGGAACCACGTGGTACGCGGGCCTTCCTGTGAGACCGCAGCGGTCCAGAGCGATCACTTGTATCAGAGGTAGCGAGGAGGAGACGCGTATCAGAGGCAGTACCGAGGGCACTTAATTGGTGCCTGACCGCCCCGAATGCCACGCCGCCTCGCCACATCGCAGCCCGACTCGTGGGACGACAGCCGACCGATGGGACGGGACACTACTACTGAGTGCCTGACCGAGTGGGACATGTGAGTGCGAGCCGGGGACGCGAAAAACTATACCGCGAAGCGACCCGTCATCGCCCGGGCGCGTTCCCGCCGCCGCCCGCGCTGAGTTCGCTGAGAAGCCGCCGGCCGACGCCCGCCGCTGGCCTAATTATGGCCGCCGCCGTGACTGAAAGGGGCCGCCACAAAGAGACCTGGTGCAAGCAACGCCGTAGCCGCCGCCGCCAGACCCGCTGAGCGAAGGGACGCCCGAACGCTGCACCTGTGAGCTGGATCACGACCGCCCGGGAAGGCAAAGACACTACACTATAGTCCGGCCCTCCTACGGCCTGAGGGACAGTGAACTGGCCCTCTGTTTAAAAAGTTTGAGGACCTCTGATTTATTAATTTATAATTCATTTCACGTGTTCGCATATTACTGTGGATAATTAATCCAGACAATTTTATTTTGTTTCCTTTTTTATTGACTGCTTCAACTACATTCGTCATTTTTGTTTTGTCTCTACCGTTATCCGTTAATAAAGAAACAATTCTGTTTCACTTTCTTGCTCATATTTCTTACCTACAACCGTCAAAATATCGCAGAACATACGATTTCTGGAGTATATCTCGGTGTCCGAATATTAAAGTGAGCCATCGTAGATTCAAAATATTTTGCCAAGTGATTTGCGGGTTGCATTTGACATGAATATATACTTTTGTTTTACAGCGCCATTTAGTAAATCATCCCGATATTTCTCCATGCAAGAGAAAACTACATTCTTCACGAAAAATATAGGCAAAACCATTATTTTATGTTGTTTTATATTTTAATTTAATTTTATATGAATTGAAACAACTTTCATTATGTAATTCTGCAGCCATCATAATTTCATTTTCATTTCAATAAGTCCGAGAAAATAATCAGGATGTGGCGTACTAATGAACTAATGGTGCTTCTTCGCCCATATTATCACGAAAAATTTCGCGAAAAATACTTACATTTTCGAAAAATTACACACGATCTTATTTCAAAATTTATATCTTTTCGGAAAAGATTTCATTAAGGTAAATATCTCTCTTTAGTGTTTCAGTTGCAAGAAGTTTCCGAAAAAAATTGAACTTTTGAAATTTTCAAAGAATTACGGTTTTTAACGAACATGGGACCTGCATCATTCTCTTAAACGTCCTTAACACTATTCAACAAAAAATGTAATAAAATACGATGGAGCCGTTTTTTTTATAATTCGGAAAATGTCCCAATAGCTTCTTGTAAAGTACTCCTCAAATTTAAAAGACCGGTTTCAAATTCAAGAGGCAGCTACATCAGCCGTATTGAATGGGGAATATCTATTTTGGAGAAAATGGATCGTACGGTTTAGCAGTTAGCATTTACACACGGAGACAGACAGACAGACGGTTCGCCGTCATTCGATTTTTCGGTATCAAGGACCCACAACACATGGATTCTGGCTACACCACGTGTTAGGGGATTTTTTTCTTAATTTAACAACCGGATTTATCCACTTTTTCGCTACCAGGACCCTGCAATAAGAGAGCGCAGGCTTCCACCGCCGGAGTCAGTATTTAATTGGCTGTCCGGGTGACACCGCGTTCATGGCGGCGAAGATACCGACGTTTCGGTCGCCATTCTGCGACCTTCCCCATGGCGTAATGCCCTGAGGATTAATCTTTAAGCCCTGAGGAAGGTCGCAGAATGGCGACCGAAACGTCGGCACCTTCGCCATAGACGCGGCGTCACCCAGACAGCCTAGAAAATAAAAATTCTGCAATAAGAGTTTTTCTGCCGAAAATTCGCAGTTTTTTCGCGCGGCATTACATAACTTACTCTGTACTACGTAGCGAGAAAGTAAAAAGTATCAAATGACATTACATAGTGTTAAGACATTATCACAATAATACGAATTCCCAGTAAAATCGTTACTAAATATAAAATAAAATTCAAAATATACATCAGAATTGGAAATTTACGTTAGAATTACATTTTAAATCACTTTCAAAACACATTGTATTTTAAAACGTGAATGTTACTCTATTTGGCGAAAAACTCGAAATACTACGAATGTTGGCATGAATTAATTCACGTTAAAAATACTACATTAAAAGAAAAAAATAAAACCTGTAGTAGGATATGGAAACGTTAGGAATCATCATGTTCATCATACTCAGAATGTTAAAAGGCAAAAAGAAAGTTTTCTTGATTAACATTCAAATTCTTATCCACTGTGTTGTAACGTAATTGAAGTAATATAATTATAAACGTAAATTAAAGTATTTATGCTGAAACGTAACTGCCTTATTTATAATTATTTTAAATTCAACAAAAGCATTTAAGAGTATGTTTAAAGGACTATCTGCAATAAACGTGTTAAATAAAACCTATTTGTTAATTAACTTTATTCATCATGCCACTTAAACTTTAGAACAATACAGATTATACATGCTCAATGCGTAAACACAACAATTTGTCAAGGTTCTGAACCACTTACTACAAAACAATATTAGCTTCATAATTTGATCTGATGTGGTACGAGATGTTACTGTATGAAGCTTGAAATGCGAAGGTCACAAACAAATGACTCCTAGAATCTTTATTTG